AAACGCGACAAATAGGGCACGTCTTGCAGGATTCCCGCCGCCGACCAAACTGGATGATTTAATAGCTCTTATCCCAAAATTAGAAGTTGTGAGACAGTTAGAGGAGGGTAGCAACTCGCAATCACGCCGATGGGAAACCAGAGCAGAAAATAATAGGCAATTTACACCTCAAAACAGGCAATTCGCACCTCAAAATAGGCAATTCACACCTCAAAACAGGCAATTCACATCTCAAAATAGGCAATTTACACCTCAACATAGGCAATACACACCAGCAATTACCAGCAACAACCAGACTTCAATACATCCATCTAATTTCATCAACCTTCAGTATTTCAACAACATTCCCAAATTCATCATCAATCATATATCCAACTTCATCAGCCAACAGATCTTCTCAACCCAACTTAATTAAATCTATCACTGATATACGCCCGCCCACATTTCTTAGAGCAGGTTTAGATTAAGCAATCCCACCAAACATAGTGATAAGAAATTCATTCAAAACCATAGTTACCTTTAGTTTATAAAAAAAAAAAAAAAAAAAATAGTTAATAGTTTATAAGCAAGACCGACACACATTATAACCTCAAATGAGTCAAACCAAAAGGAGTGCAGAAAACTGTTGGAACATTTCCACACCGACATCGATGTCACAACGACACAATCTCACGGCGAGCACAATAAAAATTAAAAAAAAAAAAAAAAAAAAAAAATTCTTCGTCCTTCATCTTTCCCAAACCCCAAAATCACCCCAAAACTAGGAAAAGAAAAAAAAACAACCCCACCGGGGGGAGGATGTAGCGGATCGCTACAATAGCGCAAGTCACATGACTACGATGCGCGCGCAGTCACCCGGGTAGGCACGCGCAGCGAACCAAGAGGAGTACAGTGTAGTGTCGAGCGCCTGGAGCTGTACATCTGATCGGATAAGTAGACTGTAGCCTAAGATGTCTAGCTAATAGAAGTAGGGGTTGGGGAAAGGGTGTAGGTTGGGGCAAAAAGTAATTCAATCATGTAGTTTATTAGGTTCTCGAAGGGTCGTGGTCTGGCAATTAATATCGTAAATTAGAATTCACATTTGCTAAGTCTAGTAACCTTTTTCACGAATTAGAATAAGTCCATATATATATATTTCTCTGTTCATTATATTATAATTAGATACATTGTGAACATAAAAGCTGGCTGTGATAGGCAGCTAAGGTAATATTGTGCACTTTGACGAGTTAGATTAATTCTTGCAATAGAGTTGGGTTACGACAGGAAATGTGCGTGATTTGGCAGTGGTTAGAGGAAGATATATAGGGCCCAGGTATCTTCATTTACACTCATACTACTCCACATCATCACACCTTTCAAATGTCATTTTGAAACACAAATTACGGCAGTAGGTGACCACAAATTTGCAGGGACCACAGAATTGTTCTTAGTTTTGCCTTGACCGCAGAAGGCGTCCACGATTTTGCTGTAACAATAGAACATTTTTTTGGCCGAGACTCCAGCATTTCGGTTTGGCTGAGATAGCAAAAGATGTTCTTCATTTCACCTTTTCCTCAAAAGATGTTCACAAGTTGATCTGACCTGATATGTTAAATCGGACCTTACCTAAGTAATATACAAACTTTGACACATTTATATAGGAAATCATATAAGTTTCATGTTTCATGATCACCGACAAAGCAGCTTACCAGTGATGGTGTGTGGTGAGGATCTTAGTCAACTTGATATCTTTCCCCTTCAGTTCTGCCAGTACGTGTTCTGGTTCTACTGGGTCCACCACGGCCGCTTCTTTTGTCTCATTGTCCACTATCTGATGTGGAAAAGTTGGAATAGTGATTACAGTACAACTTAGAGATTCAAAAGACAATGATGGTATGAAATAATATGTTATGGTATTGCACATAGAGCAAAAGACCTATGTTTATAGGATTATTTTCAGGTTAGTAGGCTTACCAGAATGGGAAAGAGTCCCATCTGTCACAAGAAATACAAAACATTAGAATATTTCACACTCACTGACAGCATTTTCAAAAACTTAGGTGAGTTGATGAGAAAGTTATTTTCAGACCTGAAGACAGTGAATAGCGGAAAGTTTTAGTTTTGTTATTCTTAAGCCAGATTAAACTCTGGTAATCCTGATATCCAAAAAATATTAGATTTTTTACTACTGGTGTGTAAATAATGGTACCTATGATGAATGGTTCCTGCAATGGGAAGACGTGAGTTGGAAAGAATTGATACATGATGAATTACTTTTTCTATTTTTTTAACAATCTGTCTAAGAAAACAGTAGGCCTACTTTAGAATATCCCAGTTAGTGAACTCATCAACTTTGTACAAACCAAATGACAAACAAAAGGTATAAACCTTTGACTGTCTGAAAATATAGCATTGACATGTTAAACCCAAAATTAATCGAGTTCTCGTGTTGTAAAAAGTTTTCAACTAAAATTTTTGATTTTACTTTCTTTTTTATTTTTAAAGTTTGTTTTTATTTATTCAAATTATTATGTTGGGATCTAGGTCTTGCATAAAATAAATACCTTTTAAACTTGGTTTCTTTTTAGATCGCATTGGAAACTATTATATTCATATGATGTTAAAGAATAACATTTTTTGACAAATTAAACAAATTTTGCTTTAAAAAATAATATCTTTAAAAACATGTTTTAATGTAGGTGTTACTTAAACTTTTAAACATTAACATTATTATAGTTGAAAAAGTTATTGATGTAGGCTAACATCTTTTGGGCCAAAAATTTAGAAACCTAATTTTACATATTTCCTCTCTGTATATCTCCTTTTTCAAGCAATAATCCATAATGAACCCATCTAATTACCATTCCCTTCTGCCAATTTTTAATATTAGTGCACATATTATTTAATATTTAAGATATTGAATAGATAAACTTGTAATAGAAATTTGCACAATTCAGCTTTGGAGACTTGGTACCCGTTCCTGTATATCAACTGCTAGAGCGGGCCAATACGAGTTGATTTGTCGAGTCAACATTGAGCTTGGGTTGATTGGGAGTTGATTGGCAATATAAACACATCAGCTGTTTGTTTGTATTTCACATGTTAGTCAGCTTCATCAATGTAGGCCTTATGTACTCTGCGCATCTTTACAACACTCACTTAGATAGAATCAAAGTGTTTCAAAATCTTTTACTCATATTTTATACAATATGATGATAAAAATGTAATTATTCAGAACATCAGAAATGTAAAAATTATATTTTACTTTTGATGATTACTTTTGGAATGATCTCCATCTATTTGCATAGCCTAGGTGTCTAGATGTAAAAACAAACTTATATGCATCACATTATTAAATAAATTAAAAGGCAAGTAATTTAAATTGTATTTGGTTATTTCTTTCATTCCATAAAAACAATTTGAAAATCATTTCACACCCACAATCAAGATTATGTAGGTTTACATTTAAGAGAAAAAAACATAAACTTTCTGAATCTTATATAGGCCTATAATATCCTAATAATCACACTTTTAGTTTGAAAAAATATGTTACCCTTTTTTATTACAAGTAGGATACTTGAATTAATTTAATGAGAAATTTACACAGGGTCAACAATAATTTTCCACGAGGCAGGGAAGCGCCAGTGGTAATTTGGCCAACTCCAAAAAACCAGTATGAAAAACTTTCATCTTCTTTCTGTTTTTTGAGAGTAAGTAATTTTCCTGTTAAATAATTAAATTAAATCCTGTGTAGGACGGGTGGCGTCGTCCTGTAATCCAGCTACTAGGAGGTCACAAATTGTGGATATTTATAGGCATGCACTGTGGATGCGATACTCCCTGGTGTTGATTAACATCCACACTAGTGAGTACTAAGACTATCCGCAGACTGATAATTAGACCAATTCGTTAATTACAAGGCAAAAATGTGGTTCCGATTTCCCTATAAAAACTTTAGATCCCTTAGTTGCCATTGGCTGTATGAGCTATTAATTAACAGCTGTGTCTAAGGAATATGTCGGCCTTAGTCACTAACAAGACTACAAGATCACGCCACTACACTCATCTCCATTCATTTGGCTTAAAATACCTACTTTTGTACGGTCGCCATTTCAATGAAAAGCATTAAAGTAGATCTCACTCACTAGGTACATGTAGTTGTCTTGCAACGCAGGTATGATCTTGACGTCCATCCCGGGCAGTATTACCAACCTAGGGATAGAATGGAACTTTTCCCCTCGTTGCTTGACAGCGGCCCAGGCACTGTAACACAAAACACATGTCACCAGTGCAACCAACATTGAAGAACTCGAGTTACTTCACATTAAAAATAACAATTGTTTAGAAACTAAACAATTTAACCCAGTAAAAAATGTAATGAAATGGTTTCCTCGGTTTGAGACAAGTGTCTGATTAATCGCTCAGTCTAACATCTGATTAGAGACTGGTTGATAAGACTCAAGTATTTTATTGAAAGCCTATTGAGTAGTATTAAATCATCAAAGCATTTAATTGATTCATTAACACTGTCCAGAATATTTACTGAATTTCTACTCTTAACTAGGCCTAACCATCTTTGTTTAAAAATACTCTCAAGTATGTAACAAGTAGGTAAGTTATCATTTTCAATTCAATTTCCTAATGTTGGTTTGATGAAGTTAAAAATGTTTTTCCTAAAAACACAATTGGATTAGAATAAAAAAAACAGAGATGTTTACTGACAACAAAGTCTTAGTTTTTACTGACATTTGTTTGTATTAGTCCCTTGAAGCAATTAGGAATATCAGATCAGGATGAAAGTTCTGCCCACCAGTCATGTAACTTTTTGTGAGGTAAGATAAAACAACATAGGCAAACATAACTAAATCTAACATTAACAAATTAAGTAACAGAAATTAATTTGTACGTAACGTTAGTGAGTAGGACAGGGTTTGGCAATGAATGTTAAAATGATTTACTACTGCGGGAATGGTAATATTTTTGAGTAGGCTACAAGTAACATTAGTACTAACTAGCATAATTTTGGACTGGGCTGCATAAGTTAACTTCTCAACACAACCAATAAGTTAGTACCCCATACATAATTGTAGATCCATGATAAATTCATTTACTAAAATAGGGTAAGTTTAGGTTAGTATGTAATGAAACATAACTATGGTAAAACTAGAGATTAAAGAGTCGAGTCAATAACACAAAACCTAAAATATTAAAGTAAATGTTGAAACATACCCGACACGGAATACAGTGGAGATAATGTTCTGTGAGACGACGTTTGGCAAACTTCTCACAACAAAATTAAACATCACACTGAGACGTTACAGCTCATTGGTCTTATCTGCAACACAGCGCAACTGTTAATGCTGTTATCATGTGAATAAACAAATCCAGATAACTTTTAATTATTCGTATCTTCTACTTAATGTTTTACAGACTAACTTTGTATCATAGTTGTAAACATGGAAAACTATTAAATTAAGCATTTTAACATGGCTAAAATTATAAAATTGGCTTACTTGAATAGTTATTTCTCAAGAGTATATTTCAGCACTAAGAGCGTGGCTCTTTTTGGTGCCGGTACGCAATTTTAGTGTCATAAAGCGCAGTGGCGGTCCCAGGGGGGATGGAAGGGATATATTTCATCCCCCCTGAAGTATTTTATATTTTATTAGCTAACATAAATACTATTAGTATATTTTAGAGCTCTTCAAGTATAAAAATATGTTTTTCGGCTTTAAATTCCACATTTTTTCCGGGAGGGGGGGGGCCTAGACCCTGGGACCGCCAATGTATAAGCGAGGCGCAGAAAGAGAGAAAAGGCACATCCGAGCTTAGAAATACAATAAGTAGTACGGTAGGCCTACCAAAAAGACACTTTCCCTCCGTTGTGATGAAAAACTATTTTCATGATACTGTGGATATACCTTCTAATCTTTACAAAATAAGACCACATAATTTGAGGTTATAAAAATTCATCATCAATGTTTTACATTTCTGTTGTTTAACTTATATTAAAAAAATATTAACTTATTTTATAGGCTAAATTTAACTACTCCTATATTATAAAATTAAAATATTGTGTGATCAGCAGGGACAGTTATAATATAATCAAGAAAATGTTATAATAAACAATAATAAACGGTATAAGCAATCTGACACATATACTTTCTCCCATTAGCTTCAAGCTTGTCAACAACCTGTTATCATGGGTGATATTTAATAGGTAAAATCACAAAAATTGCATTTAAGTTTTGAACCATAATCTTTACAGGAATTGGGGGGTGCACTATAGGGCCTATTGTTAAGAATTATCCAATCACAAACTAATTTTAATCAAAAACGGCTTCTTTCAAAAATACGATTTTCTCTTATTTTATGATTTTTGTAATGGGAAAATAACATAATTTTTTATAACTTTTGAACAGTGGTCTAACGAAAAAAAAAAAATCATTTGTTAGAAGGAATACCGTCCTCATTTTGTCAAAGATCTTTTTCCTGAAAAAATAAGTTCCCGAACAAACGCAACGACTGGTCTTTCCACTTAATGTTGTTTCCTGTCCTCCCTTTCAACTAGGCCTACAGCTAACAATCGCGCAGTTTGTTCTTCTTCATCCATTTTATAATACAGTAGAGTCCCGCAAACTCGGCACTCGATAACCCGGCAGTCTGGATAACTCGGCCATCACCTGGCTCAGAAAATTGGTGATTTTTTGAGTCTGAGTTAAACATGAACTCAAGCCAGCTCAAGTCAAATCATTCTCAGCTCGTACAAATTATTTGTTTTACTATATCTGATGACTTAATACTAACTTGTAATATTAATATAAATTAAAGAAGTAGTTAATAAGATTAAAAATTGTATTGTTCTTGTTCTTAACCCTAGTTCCCGATAACCCAGCATTTCACAAACTCGGCACCCTTACAGTCCACATTACGCCGAGTTTGCAGGACTCTACTGTATCGCAAAATAAGGTCAAACACAAGGGCGCACAAGGAACTAGGCTCCGGGAAAACCGTTACATCATAGGGCGCTCAAGGAAGCTACTTCAAGTACGGTAGTGACGTGAACCACTCAGCTAGTAAAGGTAAGAGTAGCCGAAACCGATTCCGCGAAAGAGGTGTGTGAGGTATGGCAGGCAACACCCCTGCCGAACGCAAACTATACTATGGTTTTTATAAAGAAAAATGTATTGACCCACAGGTAACTTCCGTGATGCGCCCGATGGAAGGTTAATAAATTAGGTAGTAGGCCTATAAAATAAACAAATTTGCCAAGTTTTATTTAAGTTAAATATAGGCCTATAAGTTATAAGAATTTGAACGGATGGTGTTTTTGGTCTCTAGGGACCTCAAAACAAAAAAGTAAATCAGTCCCGGGTCCAGGTCCTACCGGTACCATGAGTACTACGGTAATAGCTTATTCCCTAGAGGGGAAATTCGCTAAAAGAACCCACACCAATATCAATCTTCACCTACTGATTCATAACTTATAGGCCTACACTAAGTACCGATTCACATATTAAATCAGGCCTACCATCTCACTCAGCGTCAACGTGTTCTATAAGAGACACTTCCATTACAACGGCATTACACTTTTCAATCTACTTCCTCCCTCCCTTCAGCTGGAGCCGGACTTGGTCCGCTCCAAAAGGCAAGTAAAAACATTACTCTTGACCTAGAGTTGCTACAGTGTCTGTGAATGTGTCGCTGATGGGTTTAAATTAAGTATGAAGCCGCTTGTCACTCATAAGTTAAATCTACTTAGTTTGATAGGCCTAAAGATAAAATTTTGTTTGACATGACTAATGCAAATCTGTATTTGTTACTTTGGTTGAATAAACGAGCTATTGAGTTATAACAATGCTAACGGCAGGCCTTCAACAAGTAGGCCTACACATCAGCTTGCTTAACTTGGATGGTTGGTAAGAAACTGGAGATTGTAGAAACTTTAAGAAATTTAGTTTGACAGTCAGTCTAAAAGTAATGACATATATTATAGAACCCAAGAATCATGTTTGGCCAATTGACTGTTAATAACATAGCATTTATGAGGAACTTAGCATTCTCTTGCACATTGGTTGGTTCTCTAACGAATGGGCCAAACTTAGGTGAGTAAATGAAGACACAAGTTAGACCCATGGCTTTGACCAATGTTTCACTAAATTATTCACATTTTGTTGTGTCAATAAAAACTAATCAGGCTACCGTAGCCTAAGTTACTGATTTCTGTAATTTAGTCTCCTTACCTTGGACTTCAAGCTGACGGTATATTTCCTTAATTTCTCATCACTTGAGGTATTCCAATCTAATTGTAAACAACTTAGAGAATGAATATTATCGTACAGTACTTTACTCTATTAGTCTATTAGATTCAGATTGTTAAGAACTCAGCAGATAATGATAACGAATATAGGGTTATGTTTGTTATGCAAGAAGGAAGAAGAAGATAAACTACTGTTTCTGCCTGTATCAAGAAGACAAGAACTGCAACTAACTGCAAACATCTGATTGATTTTTTTAAGTCAGCGACAGCCCGGCAGCATTCATACTACGGCTGGTGCACATTGAATAAAAACCAAAGAAACATTGACGTCCTACACTCATTCGATTGTTTTTTTCGATTCAATATTTTAGTTCGATTGTTTCATTCGATATATCGTTTGGTTAGTTAGGTTAGGTTAACCTTACCTAACTAACCAAACGATATATCGAATGAAGCAATCGATTAATCGATATATCGATCGATATTTTCATTCGAATGAGTGTAGGACGTCAAGTAAAGTGCAGCCGAAAATAAACTGAGCAAAATATATAAAAAAAGAAGAAATACAAGAAAAGAATGATCTAAACTTTTGAGAAAACCAAAAGACGCACACCTATCAACCATATAGCCGAAATAAATCTTGAATCTTGATTATGTAAGCGCGGCTTTAACCCTCTGAGCTAAAATTATAACTGGAGGTAGCACTGCCATGGCAGAAGTCTGTCAAAAGCGTGTCGCTGATTTTGTTAGGTTGGTATAGCAGCAGGTTTTTTCATCCAATAACATGGCTTCTATAACTAGGTTTGCATAGCAGTGAGTTTTTTCATCCAATAACATGGCTTCTTTATAACTCACACCTCACGCAAACATGGCGGCTGGCGACAGGCATCGTTGACATTCAGTGCTACCTCCAGTTAGAATTATAGCTCAGTGCTTTAACCGTACACCGTATAAGGGACGAGACCTTGCCGTCAGACCGTCACCGCCCACCTTCGTCTGTCTAGAAACGGGACAGCGGAATTGTCCCGAATCCGAACTGAACATCTGATCGCGGGTTTCTGTCATCACCGAGCCTGTTTTAAATTACGCGGGAACAAAGTACAGTAGCCGTTTAATGTTAAATATAAGTCAAAATATGTTAATTGAAAATTATTTCTAGAATAATTATAAAAAATTACAAAAAACTATATAAGTCCAAATAAAGATGAATTACATAAAAATCCTGACTCTTATTAATTGTTGTTTACACTGTTTAAATAACAAAAGTATAGAAAGAAAAAATTTAATTCCATGTCGTTCTAAATTATAGCTTACAGGTAGGCCTATTTTCAGCTGTGAACATTTTAAAACTAGTAACATACCTCGTGTTAAAATTCCTGGGGCCCATTTCATAATAAACTACAAGTTACAAGTTACAACTTGTAACTTGTAATTTCCATAAGATTTGCATTGAGCGATCAGCTGATTTACTAATAATATTAGTTTCTAATTTATTATGAAATGGGCCTCTGGTCTTCAAAATAAATTTTTCTTAAAATGTAACAATTTAACACATATATTGATACACACTCACACACACAAATAATATTTACATTTATTTACAACATATTTTCTTCATCTTGGAAACTGTAACAACAAAATGAACACAAAAAATTGGCTATTTTAAATGAGAAATATCTTATTGTGAATTTTCTATAGGCCTACTTGTTTATTTTGTTTGTTTGTCAGTGTCACAAGTTACTCAGCATGGGTCTACGTTTATGTTTGTAGGTACCAGTAACTCTGTGAAAATATCTGGGATGTCAGTGTGTGTGTTCAAGTTCAAAAACTTTTATTTCAGTAAAAGATTTCACTAGCATACCACTGGGCCGAGTGAATACAAGTACAGCACTTGTGAGTAAATACTTGCGAGTATTCGTCGTTCAAGTAATCTCTTGTGAATAAAAGCGACTCTTTACTTGCAAGTAAATACTTCCTAAATGAGATGGTATACTCACTGATCTATCGAAGATGAGGGTATACTTGCAAGTATGTACTCCATTTTAAAGTAAACATTATACAGTACAAGTATATATATATATATATATATTAAATAAATAAATATAGATAAATATATATATTGTTGAAGGTCTAAGGCCTTCATTTAAACATGTAAAATGTGAAGGTTTTGCATTATTGAGACTTGCGGATGGATTTTCATTAACAAATAGCTTGAACATAACGAAGGAATACCACAAAGATTCCATCTTCAATTACCCAAGCATTATTTTGCGGAAATTACTAGAGTCACACATAATTTAAATAAGTGTATTACACTATACTGAATGTGTTACATGCATTTATCAACAAGTAAATTTAAACAAGCATGGGTTATTGATAACTAGTTGAAAAACAAGTATTTACTCTTTAGGCAAGTATTTGCTGGTGGTTATTCACACCAAATTTATAGGTTTATGAGGGTATATACTTCCTTGGAAAGGCTTTTTAGAAGTACAAGTAAATACTCATGCTTATTCACTTCTGTTCAAGTAAATACTCAAATTATGAAAATTCAAGGCAAGTAAAAAAATGTGAAGAACAAGAACTTTAACTTAGAAAATAAGAATGTGTCAGCTGTTACAATTTCATTTAATTTATAATTGATGGTTGATAGGGTAAATGCTACAGTTATTGGCACCTTAACGGTAAGCTTCGGAGAAATCTACCACAGCTCCTTTGCAATACCGTTTTTAATATCTACGTTTTTTAATCATGTAGCAGAATGTACTGAGAATACTGGGATCTATAAAGAAAATATATATATCATTACTTAAGTTTATTAAAAAATGAAAATGTAAAAAAATACAAAAACCATAGTTATTGGCACCATCAGCCATAGCTATTGTCACATCTTGGCACAGTTATTGGCACCCATAAAAAAGTCTACAAATATTACATTTTAAGCGTCCTAAGGTGGTCTTTGTTGTCTTACGTGATGTATGCCTAATCATATTATAGTATATAGAAGTAAAAATTAAAATTATACAGTAAGTAAAATTAAAATCCTTAAAATTGTTCATGGTAGGCCTAGTTTTAGTTCTTTGGCAACACCTTTACCGAATTTAATACTGTCTTTATACATATTAATTGGTATTGGTTCGTCGTAATCAATGCCATCAAAATATTTCCTGTGAAATATTTCATTACAACGTTCACATTTTACCTTTTGTAGGCATATTTTTTTATTCTCTTTGTTACGTATTTGATCCTGATTGGGGCTTTTTGACGGAATTTTAATGGTTGTAAACATAATATGATGGATCGGTTTTTGGTTGACCCTTTTTTTAATATGGTAAAAATTAGTTATGTGAAGCTTTGTATCTTTATATATATAAATTAAGTATATTGGCCTAAATAAATTTTTTTAATAGCATATACTCGTGTAACCATGTTACGATAACTTAGAGACTTCCATGACAGTAAATGCTGTTACTGACAGTGTCACCTGTTACCAGTGACTACAGTCATTGGCATGCCAATAACCACAATAATTACCAGTGCCAATCGGCATTAGTGTACTTACCACAGTAATTGGCACGCCAGTTACCACAGTTATTGGCAGTGCCAAGGTAGTGCCAATAACTAAATCACTACATATTTTAGACACAGTTGTTGGCACCCTCATATATTAGGTAATTTTAAGTATATGGGTAAATGGGTGGCGGGAATAGACAAATCAGTCCTTCCTAATACTAATGAAATATTGAAAACGTAATTTTTAACGTTCAGTTTTAATAGGAAACAATAAACAGGTATTTAAGTCCTTGTCAGATTCTTAAGGAAATGTGAAGAATCAATACAAATCGGCTAAGCATTTGAAAAAAAATTTCTGTGCATGTTAGCATGGCCTCTGAAATAACCAAACACACACTGAAGTACAGAGAACTCATGTGGGCATCTCAGCAACTAATTACCTAATGATTACAAATTATTAAATATATTTTTTTTGCAAAGTTTTGCTTACAATCTGTTTTAAATTAAACGATAAGTAAATATGATGACATTTATATAAATTAAATTAAAATTGGGGGAAAAATTATTAAAATGTATTATCTATACTAATATATAAAAATGAGATGGTGTGTGTTTGTGTGTCTGTCTGCTACTCAATAACGCAAAAACTACTGAACCGACTGGGCTCAAATTGCACACACATGAAGCTTCAGTTCCGAGGATACATATAGAACTATTCCCGCTTCGATATTGTCCTAGGGCTCTGCCCAGTGGGCTTTCAAAAATTTGAGGTGAGAGATTTAAAAGTAAATATTGATTGATGGTATCCATGGTAACAAAGAACAAACCTACAAAGTTTAAAAATACAAACAAGCAGAACTAATTAACTGTCAAATGAGTTTTGATTTCACAATTCCACTCCACACAGCTGGTTCAAACATATTAAATACTGCACGAATATTAAAACAGAGAGGGTAAGGATTACAAATTTGAAATAATGATGTCACTAGCCCGAATGTAAACATTATTTAACATTACTTAAATGGAGCTGTCAAACCATATGTTAATATAATTTCATCAGTTACACCATTTGTTTATGTTTATGATCTATTATACTGAGTCTGTTCTAATATTTGTGAAATGCTGTAATAATATTTTACAGGCAATAATTCGTTGTAAAAGAAATCATTCATGGATATAGGTAATAATTAAGATTCTATAATCATTGCCAAGCCATTATCCTGAGTTTTATGAGGTTTATTTTTATTTTTGTGTAAACAGCAATATAATCCCCCTGCCGCAGCAGATTTATAGACTTAGTGAATTTCCATTTACCTGATTATAATTTCGATAAAATATGTTAAAAAATTACCCTATTCTTCATATTTATTTCAATTTTCCTATTTGTTTCTATTTTTCGGTTTGTAACTGTTGTGATAGTTTTTTTGTTTACAGTGCAAACCATTTAACACGTTCTTTTATTCTACCTTAAAATCTAACATTGGTTTTGTATCGTAGGTAGCCAAAATAAGTACTCACAGTATGAGTACTTATTTTTTACATATACTTGTCCCCCTCAATGAATTCGTGTATTTCACGAAGGTGTCGAGACAAAAC